AGCGTATCAGAGTTTCTCAGAATACGCGCAGTAAAATTCAATAATATTACGGTGTACAATATTATTTAATTATTAAAAGAATCTAATTTATAGTATTTTTTAATACATTAATGAGAAAATTTTGTAATTACATATAACATTCTAAATAACGAAGTTTGAAAAATAAATACTGCTGATCAAATTAAATGTTCTAAACATTATTTATTAGAACTAATAGTGACATGCACAGACACGTGAACGAATACTTCAAATTAAGAATATTAAATCTTGTGGAATATTAAATATCGTGATAAAAAAAAACAGATGTTTTCTTACAGTCTAAATGATAAAAAATGTATAGTACCAGGAAATTAAAATTAATTAATTTATGAAAATCATTAATCTGTTGAAATACTATGAAGTCAATATTTTTTATTTTAATAAATATAATGTAAATATTGTTAGCACATTACAGTATTTAAGGTAAATTTACCATTTAATGAACATGATCAACCATTTAGACAAAAATTTTTAATATTATGACTTGATACGAATGATTTAAAATAAATTTGTTTTATTAAATTTTTATAAACATCAAATTTATTTCAAATCATACATATCATTAAAAGCTTAATATTAAAAATTTTTGTCTTTTCAAGAATTGAGTCACGTTCACTATTCATTAACTAGTACATTTTCTTTAGATATTATTACATTAAGTATTGTACTTTATAGATGGACCGAAGAGCACCATGGTTACTTTACGACTATAACATATGACAGAATAATGCCTTACTCATCATGGAAGAAATTAGATGTAGTATTATACAGAATTTTGTTACGAGCAAATAAAGAGAAGTTTAGGTCACATATTTATAATGAAATAATAAACTCAAATTGAATTCGAAAAAAAAAGCATTCACTTGCTAAGAATTTGATATCGAAGTGAGTAGATAACGTCACTAATCATTTTAGATATTTATAGAACATAAATTATTATTCACTGAAATATGATATTTTGCAAATCGTATTTAGTCATGTCGTTCATATTTCAGAAGCAAATAATAACAAATGCAAAAAAAAAAGCAATTCTTATGCTACAGATTTTTAAGCATTGATGTATCCATATTTCATCTTTTGTCGCATTATTCCCGTACAATGTTAACAGTTTGACTTTGAGACTTCAAAACTACATTATATCTCATCGATTACTATTACTTGCATTTTATACGTTCTCGACTAATACTCTTGAAATATAAAAGTTTTATAAAAATGAGCTTTGAGACAGCAACCACGTTTTTTGAGACTTACTGCTTCAATATATTGATCGCTTTTTTAACAATCGTCACACTCGTCATGAGCAATTCACTTGTTTCAGACTATAATAGAAATTTTTTTAGGACTATCTCCGAAATCGTACCGAAATATATAGATTAATTTATACCAAAGACATCTTCGATTTCTTCTACTTTATTTGCCTAATTTCTATATATTTCTTCTACAAAATGCGGATTGATATCTTGAATGATGTTTACATCGTATATACTTATGTCGATATTTCAGATGCTATTCAGATGCTATACATAAACTGTGTTTGTGTACTAAAAAAACCTATTTCAACATCAATAACAATCTTCAACATATGCAAAAATTCCTAATAAACAATGAACCACGTACTCCTACATTGTTTTATTACAAACAAAGAGATTCTTGATAATAAAATTTAACATTCTGAAGAAGCACCATATGATGAGCACAGTATAGATGTTGAATAGGATCTTCAGTGTGCAGCTATTTGCTACGGCAATTACAAAATTTTGTCAAATCGGTCTAGAACTGTGTATCTATCTAGTCCAGTGGCATGGGTTAGTCATCAATTTGAATGGACAGGTTGGTAGGTTGTAGTTCTTATCACAATTACGATTTATTACATAATAAAATTGGTGTTAATTGTGTCGGCCTGCGAAACTGGCAAGAATCAGACTCAAGAGATCCGCATTACAATTCACGATGTCCTTAACAGAGCCAAAGATGAACAAATCAAAGATAAAGTAATAAAATAGAATTTAATATATATATATTTTTTTCTTATTTTTTTTTCTATACATATTAAATTTACTTGAGTAATGTTTATTAATCTTGTACTTAATAATTTTGCCATCTAATATTACAATTGTAATCCTTTTACAAATATTACATTGCAAAAATATATTTTCCGCTAAAAGTTTCCGCTAAAAGTTTTCAATATGGATGCAACGTTTCTCGCTATAGTGAGTAATGAATCATTTACTTTAATTAATGAAATGTATCTTGTATAACTCTTTTATTGTGCTTTTAGATGGTGGGTATACCATTACCCTCCATATATGTTAATATTTCTGCAATTTTTGATTACATTTCCTGCGATAAAAAAATCTGCAATCAATATTACACGAATAACGTAATTCCATAAAAAAATAAAAGAATTTTTTTTCTATATAAAATTTATGTACAAATTATAATAATACGATTAAGTTTTTCAAAGATACTATGTTATTACTAATATCGTTTGCGTCTAATAAACATACTATTCTGTTTTGTATTCTTCAAATACAATAGGATAGCAACTTTGAAATTAATTTTTGTTCATAAATTGTATGATATCCATTAATTTCATCAGTTAAAATTATATTCATTTGTTCTAATCTAAGTAATAAAATCAATTCTAATTAATTTTATATATTGGGAATAAGTTTCCGCCCTCTTTTTTAATGAAAAAGATGTATTTATTTGAACAAAACGATACAAAATTAGTTCATTCAAAGTATGCTTCATCGGAAGCGACAACTTTCTTCCACTTTTCAGGTAATAAGCGGATTTCTCAAAGAAAGAAATCTGATTCTTTTGAAGCGATTCATTCATCAAGTCATTTTTTGATTCCTTCATAAGAATTGAATGGCTCTCCGGAAAAAGCCGACTGCCGATTGCATGGACCGGAACAAATAGAAATCTGAAGGAGCAATGTCCGGTGAATACGGCGAATGGAGCAGAATTTCTCACTTCACTCCTTCCAATTATATTTTTATATTTTTTGACTGGTTTTGCAACGTGTGGTCTAGTGTTGTTAGGTAGCAGAATCAGCTTACCGTGCCTATTGTCCCATTTCGTTTTTGTTTCAAAGCTTGGTTCAACAAACAAATCGCTTCGAACGAATGCCAACTATTAGGCTCAAAAGCTTGAACACGCACCTTTCAAATACTTGTATTGCCATTTTATCAAACGCATAAGCAATGCTAACGACATCTCTCTAATGGGCAGAAATTATTCTCGTATCCAATAATAAATCTACTTTATATATAAAACTCAATTCATTAATGTATTATCTTTCTACCTCTCATCACAGCATTATCAGACTTTCTCAGAATACGCGCATTAAAATTCAATATTACTTTGGTGTACAATATTATCTAATAATTAAGAAAATCTGATTTATAGTATATTTAGTAATTACGTATAAAATTATATATAAATTAAGTTTGAAAAATAAATAACTAATTGATCAAATTAAATGAATGTCGAAATATTTTTTATTAGAACTTACTGTGTGACATACACACAGATACGCGAATATTTCAGATTAAGAATACAAAATTTTAAAATCGTGATAAAAAGAACAAATATTTCTTAATTCTTTAAAGCACTTTTTCTTTTTAATCTTTTTCTGTGAAATTTGGTATACGGGGGTTTTTCAGGTTTGCTGATTGCGAATCCAAAGTCAAAATATAAAAATATTGCATCCAAGACGGATTTAAAAGGGATTAAAAATTCTTAATTAAAATGAATTGTGTACAAATTCGAATTCTAAGACTTTGAAGGATTTTAATTATAAATTAGAGATCCAAATTTGAGAGATCCAGTGAAGTTCAAAATGGCGGATTCAATTTTGGAAGGATTTCTGAAAATTATAAAACTTAATTTATTCATTTCGCTTCTGCCATTTTAAATCAATAATTTTGAATTTTGGAAATCTGGCATTGGATTAGCGATCACAAAACTATTCTACACGAAATTTCAAGTTAAAAAACCTGGCCAAAAATAAATTTTTCCGAAAAAAAAGGCAAAAATTTTTTTGATCTTCGTTTATTTATAAAATTATTACAATAAATAATAAGAATTACTAAATTATTTTTAAATAGTCTTCTACTTCTAAGGAAAGATGAAAAACCAAAATGCGAATTAGAAAAAGAAGTTTACGTGATAACGTGGGTTACCACCATGTTTCAAAGGATTAAATTCTATGTGAATCTTTACAATAAAAATGTACAGTATCGGAAATTATAATTAACTTAACTACAAGAATTGATTTGTTAAAGTAGAGGAAAGTCGCCGATTCTGACGTCTCCAAAGTGACACTTCCTTCTCAGAAACTAACTATTGCACTTTATTAATACTATTAAAATTATGATCTATTTAGCTAATTAAGGAAGTACAAACTCATAATTTATGTATTTGTGTCAAATCAGTTAAAAACGAGTTCTACAAATGCAAAAATAAAATTCTTACGATTTCCTTTTGCACACTGAGTAGTTTATATAGGCTATATTATTAATAATATTACGTCACTTTAAATGCTTATAATTTTTTTAGTTTTATTAATATTATTTTTTTTCTCTTAGATTTTCATAACACGATTTTAAATTTAAAATTAGGGTGCTGTGTAAACCGCCACATCTGATTGTAAAATAAGCTATTTACTTAATCCTTATAATGTTGTTTTATAGTATCAAATAGCTCTATTGGAACTGAAGGCAGTCGTGCATATATGGAAAACTTTTAAAAAACTATCGCGTTACACATTTGCATCTTGCAAAAGCCGCAGAATAGCATAAAGTAAATATGCATATAATTCAATAAAAATATTTTATAACGAAGTGAAACGTTCTGAAATATCTTATATATATTCATTTGTAAATACTGTATACAGATAATTTCTGTAAAAAAAAAAAGAATAGGGATTATTGCTTACCGTGTCAGTTTTGTCAGACACTCATTTTTGTTTACCTTAGAAAAAAAATTAATTATTGGAAAATTGCAAACAGTATTACAAAAACTACTTATATTAACTGATGGAAGATATTTTTCAGTTTGTACTAATATTTTTAAAGTATTATTTTTACCTTTTGTTTAAGAAATATTGTCTAAAAATAAAGTGATATGTTGGTACTTTCCTCTACTATATAATCGATATTCATTATTTAGACAAATATAATGTTAATAATATATAGTTAGCACATTACGGAAATTGCATATGATAAAAATAAAAACTATGTTTTATAGATAAGAGATCGAAGTGCACTATGGTTACTTGACAATTCACATATAACAAAGTAAAGTCACTCTTCGTCGCAATAATGCTCGCAGTATCAAATAACAATTTATCAGGTGTAGAAAAGAAAGTAGATTATTTTGATTGACACGTTTGACATGTTTGAAAACTTAAAAATAGAAATTAAAAAAATAATCCTGTAATCTCACATTAATAATTATAGTGAGTAGACAAACATGATTAATAATCTTTAAGCTATATACACATAATACAGATGTTTATTATTTATTCACACATAGCATTTAACATATTCAACACTAACCATATTCAGCATGTCATTAAAATTCCAGAAACGATAGAGAAACAAAATGCGAAAAAAATGGTCGCTATTTAATGCTACGGATTTTCAAACTTTGATGTATCCTTGTTTCACCTTTGGTCGCATTCTTGGATTATGTCCGTACAAGATTAACAATTCAACTTTTGAGATTTCAAAATCACATTATATCTTATCAATTATTGTTATTTGCTTTTTATGCGTTTTTGAAATGATGTTCTTAAAAAACAGCAAAATTTTTACAAAAATTAGCTTTGAAACTACAATTACATTTCTTGAGATTTATTACTACAACATATTAATCGCTTTTTTAATAATCATTACAATCATTTTGAGCAATCCGCGAATGCATTTGCTTCAGACTATAATGGATATTTCTTCGGGATTGTCTCCGAAATCGTACCAAAAGTTATCCAGATTAATTCATACCAAGGACATCTTTGGTTTCTTCTACCTTATCCACCTAATTTCTATATATTTCTACAAAACGCGCATTGATATCTTGAACATAATGTTTTTAACATATACAATTCTGTCGATATATCAGATGGATATGCTTTACATAAACTGTGTTTGTTTATTAAAAGCTTGTTTCAAAGATGTTAATAACAATCTTCAACAAATGGAAGAACTCATAATAAATAGTGAATCACGTGTCCCTATGTTGTTTTATTACAAACAAAAAAATCTATTCTTGATAATGAAGCTTAAGATTCTGAAGAAACAACATATGATGATCAGCAACACAGTACAGATGCTAAATACAATATTCAGTGTGCAATTACTTGCTTCGACAATCATAACTTTTGGTCAAATAAGTCTAGATTTGTATATCCATTTATTCCAATGGCATGATGGAGTGTTCATCAATTTAAATGGACAATTTAGTGAATTTATCCTATCAGATATAATTTATTACATAATAAAATTGGCGTTAATTGTATGGGCCTGTGAGACTTGCAAGAATCAGGCTCAAGAGATCCGCACTACAATTCACGACGTACTTAACAGCGCCAAAGATGAGCAAATCAAAAATGAGGTATAACAAAAATGAAATTTAATGTATACATTTTTCTTATAATATTTTGTTTCTATACATCCAGAGACACGGTAATATCTCGGCGCTAAGAAAACGCGTAGCGTTTTAGAGCGAGACAGTACCGGGTATCTTTATTATCTGTACTTGAGTATAGTTATGTTTATCTTATTAATTTTATACTACTTCATAATTTTGCGATCTAATATTACAGCTGCAGTTCTTTTCCTTGCAAATGTTACATTGCAAAAATATATTTTCCGCTAAATGTTTTAATATAGATGCAACGTTTCTCGTTACAGTGAGTAATCGATCGTTTGCTTTAATTAATGAAATCTATTTTGTATAACTATTTTATTTTGTTTTTAGATGGTGAGTACCATTACCACATATACGTTAATTTTGCTACAATTCCTAATCACATCCCATTCTTACTAAAAATTCTACAATCAATATTATATGAATAATGTAATTCCATAAAAAAAATAAATAATAAAGAAAATATTTCCCATATATACAATTTTATACTAATTATGATAATTGAATTAAGTTTTCTTCAAATATGTAATGAAATCGATTCATTATTATTAATACCATTTGCGCCTGACAACTTACTCTACTATTTTGTTAACCATGAAGTACGATAGGACAACAACTATGAAATTAATTTTTGTCCGTATATAGTCATATCTATTAATTTCTCCAGCTAAAAAATATATTAATTTGTTCTAATTTACATAATAAACAATTTTAATCCATTTTATATATATACATATAATGTATATATAGACCGACTATATATTATTATAAAACTCAATTCATTAATGTATTACTTTTTTGCCAGCGTATCAGAGTTTCTCAGATACGCAGTAAAATTCATTAATATTTCGGCGTACAATATTATTTAATTAGTAAAAGAATCTAATTTATAGTATTTTAATACATAAATGAGAACATTTTATAATTACATATAACATTCCAAGCCAAGTTTGAAGAATAAATATTGCTAATCAAATTAAATGGACGGTGTGTTCCAAATATTATTTATTATAACTTGGTAATATACACACACACATGTTAGCAAGTACTTCAAATTAAGAATAGTAAATCTTAATGTCATGGTAAAAAGAATAGATGTTTCTTATACATTGTATATAAAAATAAAAAATGTACTGAACCAAGAAAGTAAAATTAACTAATTTATAAAAATCATTAATTTTTGTAGTCGATACTTTTTATTCTGAGATAATGTCAATAATATATTGTTAGCATATTACAGAAATTACATATAATTACGTTAAAAACTATATTTTAAAAGAAAAAAAATCCTGTAATCTCACACTTGCAATAATAATTACAGTAAGTAAATAAACGTGATTAATAATCTTTATTTATAGATGTTTAGTGTTTCACATACATCATTTGACAAACCATTATTATTCAGTACATAATTAATATTCCAGAAATGAGAGAAAAACAACATACAAAAAAAAATGGTCGCTATTTAACACTACGAATTTTCAAGCTTTGATATATCCTTGTTTCACCTTTTATCGCATTCTTATGCCCGTACAAGATTAACAATTCGACTTTCGAGACTTCAAAACCAGTATATCTTATTAATTACTGTTATTTTTATGCGTTTTCTTCTTGATATTCTTGAAATACAACAAAATTTTACAAAAATTAGTTTTGAAACTACAATCACATCTCTTGAGGTTTACTATTTCTACATATTAATCCCTTTTTTAACAATCATTACACTCGCCTTGAGCAATTTGCGAATGCACTTGCTTCAGACTATATATTGGACATTTCTTCGGACTTTCTCCGAAATCGTACCAAAAGTTATCCAGATTAATCCACACCAAGAACATCTTCGGTTTCTTTATTAATTTCTACATGTTTCTTACAAAATGCGCATTGACATCTTGGACATAATGTTTACAACGTATGCACTTGTATCGATATATCAAATGGATATGCTATACATAAACTGTAAACTGTATTTGTGTATTAAAAGCTTGTTTCAAAGACATTAATAACAATCTTGAACAAATACAAGATCTCATAGTAAACAGTTTGAATTCAAATCAAAATGTAGAATTATTGAATAAAAATGAATTACATTTGAATAAATTAATGGAAGGAATCTATATTTTTGATATTTTAAAGGATTTAATAGTAAATTTTTTTGATATTTTAAAGGATTTAATAGTAAATTTATTAAATTTAATAAGTTAAAATTTAAATAAAATAATATATACAAGTTGCACGTCATTTTCATAAATAAATAGTTGGAAGAAGTCATAACAAAGTAATAATACAGGAATGTGTATTTAGATGAAATAAAAGGAGGAGAGGAGGAAAAAGTGAAGATCTTATAGTAAATAGTGAACCACATGTCCTTTTGTTGTTCTATTACAAACAAAGGAATCTATTCTTAATAATAAAAAATAAGCTTAAAATTCTGAAGAAACAACATATGATGATCAGCAATGCAGTACAGATGTTAAATTTCTTCAATGTGCAATTACTTGCTGATCACAACTTTTTGTGAAATCAGTCTATATATGTATAACTAGTTCAGTGGCATGATGGGTTAGTCATCAATTTGAATGGTGAGACAAATTGGTGAGTTGATCCTATTAGCTATGATTTATTATATAATAAAATTGGCGTTAATTGTGTGGGCCTGCGAGACTTGCAAGAATCAGGCTCGAGATCAGCATTACAATTCACGACGTTCTTAACAGCATTAAAGATGAGCAAATAAAAACTGAAATAAATACTGATATTACAAATGGAGTTTATTGTATATATTTCTTACAATATTTTTACTGTATATTAAATTTACAATATAACATATTGTAGGACCATGTGATAACACAACTGTAGAAATCAGTCGTACACAATCTAGCTTAAATGCTTGTATGATTCTTGAATTTATATTCATGAATTTATATACTATTTATATATGTACGCAGTTCCCAGAAACGTGCACCGAAATGATTTTTCGGTCTTTGAAAACGATAACTCTACCGCAATTATCATGAGTTAAATTGACTAGCAATTTAACAAATATTTGATACAATTCACATCTTCAAAACGATCTTAATAATGTTGATTAACATATTAAAATCTGTAAATAATTAATTCTTATTGCGAAAAATATTATCTCGGCCGGAAGTCGAACTCGGATCTCTTGCATTCCGTGCGAGCGTTCTAAGCCTTTAGACTATCGAAGCTTTTTCAAAGACCGAAAAATCATTTCGGCGCGTGTTTCTGGAGACTACATAGTATATAAATTATACATACATAGTATATAAATTGATGCAAGAATCATACAAACATTTAAGATCCAGTTAGACCGCGTTTGATTTCTATAATTTATTAAATTTACTTATATAAAATTACGTCTATTAATCATGTATTTAATAATTTTGCAATCTAATATTGAAGCTGCAGTCCTTTTCCTGGCAAATGTTATTACGTTGCAAAAATACATTGTTCACCAAATGTCCTAATATAGACATTTCTAGTGATGTTTCTCGCTATAGTGAGTAATCGATCGTTAGCTTTATTTATTTAAAACATATTTTGTGTAACTATTTTATTTGGAATAATAAACATTTCATTTGATTTTTTAGATGATGGACCATTAATATATATTAATTTGCTACAATTCTTGATCATGTTCTATTCTTGCGATGAAAATTCTACAATCAGTATTACATAAATAATGTAATTCTATAAAAGGAAATAAATAAAACAAACTTTTTTCCATATATCTATAATTTTACGCAAATTATAATAATCCGATTAAATTTTTCAAAGATACAATATAATCGATTTATTATTGAGAGACAATTGATTATATTTATTATTATTAATATCATTTACATATTACATACTAATATGTTACAACATATAATTCTATTTTATTAATTTTCAAATAGGATAGCAATTTTAAAATTAAATTTTGTTCATAAATAGTATCACATGTGTTAATTTCATCAGCTAAAAAAATATATTATTTTGTTCTAATTTAAACACGCACGCACACCAATACTAATTAATTTTATAATAAACATGTATATTACTATAAAACTCAATTCATTAATGCATTAATTATCTTTTTGTCTTTTACCATATCGACATCTCAGAGACAGAGAGTCTCATAGAATGTCTGCAGTAAAATTAAATAGACTTCAGTGTATAATATTATTTAATAATTAAGAAAATCTGATTTATACGTTTTAATACGTTAATGAAAATATTTTGTAATTAAATATAATATTGTAAATTAAGTCTGAAAAATAAATACTACTGATCAAGTTAAACAGAAGTGAATATTTATTAGAACTTATGGTGATATACACACAAACATGTGCGCGAAAAATTTCAAAGTAAGAATATTAAATCTTAAAGTCGTGGTAAAAACAAGTATTTCTTAAATATTCTATATGAACAATGTACCGAATCAGAAAATTGTGAATAACTAATTTATAAGGCTTATAATCTGTTTAATATCTGTATAATATATAATAGTCGATACTTTTTATTCTGAGAAATTATATTAGTGTTAATAATGTATAATTAGTACATTACAGAAATTTATATGATTACATTAAAAACAGCATATAACAGATCGAAGAGCACCATGGTTACTTAACAACTAATATATGATAAAGTCACTCTTCGTTGCAATAACTACTCGTAGTATTAAATTACAACTTGTCAGATGTAGATGAAGAAATAGTTTGTTTTGGTTAATATATTTATAGAAACTTGAAAATAAAAATTAAAAAAGAATCTTACAATTACGCTCGTATTAATAATCACAATGAGTTGATAAACATTATATTAAACTATAATATAGATGTTTATTGTTTATGCATAACATTAGACTGAACTATTTCAGAACGTGATTAATATTGAAGAAACGAGAAAAAAATGCGACAAAAATGGTCGCTATTTTACGCTATAGATTTTCAAACTTTGAGGTATCCTTCCTTCACCTTTTGCCGCATTTTTGGATTATTCCCGTACAAGATTAATAATGCAATTTTCGAAATTTCAAAATCACAATATATTTTATCAATTATAATAACTTGTGCTTTATGCATTTTCTCTCTCCAACTGTACATCAAATCCAAGATTTCTACAAAAATCGACTTTCAGAATGTAATTACAATTATTGTGACTTCCTGCTATTATATATTGATTGATTTTTTTGCAATCGTCACACTTGTCTTGAGTAATCCACGAATGCGTTTGCTCCAGACCATAATGAAGATCTCATCGAAACTGTCTCCGAAATCGTACCAGAAATTATCCAAATTAATCCACATCAAGAACATCTTCGATTTTTTCTATGTTATCGGCCTAAATTTTATAGTGTTCTATAAAATGGGCAAAGATATCTTGAATTTGATATTTTCAATATACATAGTTCAATGGACATTTCAAATAGAGATGCTGTATGTAAACTGTGTTTGTGTATTAAAAACCTGTTTTAAAAAAATTAACAATCTTCGACTTATGCAAGAAATAGTAAATAGTGAATCATGTATTTCCACAATATCTTACTGCGAGCAAAGAAATCCATTTTTGATGATAATAAAGCTTAAGGCTCTGGAGAAGCAATATATGATGATCAGCAATACAATACAGATACTAAATACGATCTTCAGTGTACAAATTCTTGTTACAATAGTCTTAACTCTTTTTGAAGTCAATCTTGAACTGTATATTTATGTAGTCAAATGACATAATGGATTAGTCATCAGTTTGAGTGAACATACTGTTGAAATTTTCTTGTTAGCCATGATTTTTTACACTATAAAAATAACGTTAATTTTTTGGGCTTGCAAGACTGGAAAGAATCAGGCTCAAGAGATCCGCACTACGATTCATGACGTACTTAACAGCACTAGAGATGAGCAAATAAAAAATGAGGTAGTAAAAATTTAATTCAATTTGTATATTTTTTTTATATAACATGTATACTAACAGGTTCTTCTACATTGAATTTACTTGAATATAGTTTCGTTTTTTACTCCTATTTAATTTAGAGATTTAATGTTATAGTTGCAGTTGTTTTCGTTGCAACTATTGCATTGCAAATATACATTTTCCGCTAAAATTTTTAATGTGGATTTCTTAACATTTCTCATAGTGAGTAATAAATTGTTAAATTAATTGTTTAATTAATGAAATGTATCTTTTATTTATTCCTTCTTATATTGCTCTTTAGATGATGGATACCATTACTACATACATGTTACGCTACAATTCTTGATCGCATCATATTCTTGCGAGAATCTGCAATTAATGATAATATTACAAATAATATAATTTCTTAAAAGGAGATAGATAATTATATATGAAGAGAATTCTATTCGTATATTGGTAAATAGTTATTTGTATACATATTGCAGCATGCATACACACACATATATATATATATATA